AACTCACACTCATCTCTTACCATAATCTCCACCAACAACTAGAGTTGCTCTGAAATACACATCTACTTGTTTAACTCACTTACTTTAAAACGTCTAGGAGCTCTAATGCCCACAAAATCAGTCCAAATTTCATGGTATCTTAGTCTGCTTGGGCTGCCATAACAAAATACTATAGACTGGAAGTCTGAGAATGCCAGACATGCCAGCATGGTTGGCTTCTGGCAAGAGCTCTCTTTCTGGCTGCCTTTTCACCGTGCTCACATGGCAGGGATAGAAAGCAAGCAGGGCAAGCGCTCTGGTATCTCTTTGTATAAGGGCAGTAATATCATCATGAGGGCCCCACACATGTGACCTCTTCTAAACCTAATTACCTCCCAAAGGCTCCATCTCTGAATACCATCACACTGGGAGTTAGGGCTTCAACATACGAATTGCGGGGCGGGGGGGGCACGATTCAGTCCACAGCATGTGGTATGATATTCAAAGACTTTTATAACTACCTCTAAGCTGGGTATTCTGTTTTATCTTTTATTACTCCACAACAGTGCATTCTGACGCTCCAAGAACATCACATATAGTTCTCAAAACACATCATATACTTTCACAGCACTATGCCTTTGCTCATTCTGTTTACTCTGCTTAGACAGTTGTTCCACCCTGGCAAACTATTATGTTCTTCAAATGTCATCACATCCCACCTGTTTTGTGAAGTCTGCTTGGATTTCCTCTTTTTTGTACCCATATCACTTCTATCAAATTCAAACTGCCTGGATTCAAATAGTAGTTCTGCCAGAGTTTAAATGTGTGATCTTAAGCAAGTTATTTAACTTCCTTGTGCTTCAGTAACCTCATTTGTAAAATGGGGATAACAGCACTTATTTCATAGAGTTTTGGCATGGGGAATAATGAGTTACTATGTGCAAAGTTCTTAGAGAAATGCCTGGCACATAGTAAGCATTATATAAATTGTTTGCTGTTACTATATCATGTTAAGTGAAGACAATCAGGATAGAAACTTTTATTTATGGGCTGTAAAGGTAGGGAAATGGCTCCACTATGACATTCTGGCAACTGTGCACTATTCACATAGGCCACGTAAGCAAGGCTCAACTTCAGTCTGCCCTAGGTCTTGGCAGAACATCCTGTGATTCTCTTAGAGCATGAGAAGATAGGCAGTCTTGTGAGGAGTTGCCTCAAGGCTGTTTCTTATCTGTCTTTCGACCTTGTGGGAGGCTCCCTATCTTGCAGGAGGATGCCATGAGGTTTCAATAAGGCATAGGATTTTCCACCTCCCTTCCCCTGGGTATAGAGGCAGGCTGTAAAACAGCTTAGCTGCAGTCTATAGTTGGCTCTTCAGCAAGAGTGCCTCACTACTCGTGTCACCTGTCATCTGGCTCCTGTAGTTCAATGTTGTCCTGTGGGGCAAAGGGACATGGGGAGCTGATATCATGCTGATCTTGCTTATGCTATCTGTATAAGTAATAAACTATATCCTTTTGGACTTGTTTCCTTATCGGATGGATCTATGAAAATATGTGCTGCTGCTTATGGACTATTTGACCTCTTAACAGTAAGCACCTGCAGAGAAGGAGAACCTTATATCTATTTTGTTCAACACTGTATGTCAAGTGTCTGGCCTGTAGTAAATGCTCAATAAGTATTTGTTGAATTTTAAAAATTACAGAAAACAATGATAAATGTGTATTCAAGGATATGTATCAAATCCATTATAGTAGAAGTCTTGTGGGGAGGGATGGAAAGTATAGAAGATAAAAGAGAAAATATAATTTAAGATAAAATAAAATAAGACAGAGGCATTCTACTCATGAAGTTTAAGGAAAAACATATGCATGTCACCTAGGAGGAAATGCCTTCCAGACTCTCTTATACCAGTGTAAGAGGCATTGTAAGCATGACCTTATTTTCCCAACTGTAATATAAGGAGGAAAGTCTAAACACTTTCAAACTGTATTCCAAAGAGCCTCAGTTTTTCTCCTAGGAGCTGTCTCATAGATGATAGTACCCTTTTAACCAAGGCAGTAGTACGTGTTTTATATGTTAGGCTTTCTCACAGAATTTTGTTTGAAGAAAAGAGTTGGCAGCTAAAAACAAAACAAAACAAACCTGCAAACCACTGGCCTAGTTCTAGCTCTAAAATTAATGTACAGCATGATGACAATAGTTAATAATACTGTATTGAATATTGGGAAATTGCTAAGGGTAGATTTCAGGTGCTATCACCACACACACTCACACACACAAATGGTATGTGAAGAGATGATATGTTAATCAGCTTGACTGTAGTAATCATTTCACTATGTATATGTATATCAAATCAATATATTGTACACTTTAAATATATACAGTTTTTATTTAGAAAATAAAATGCCCAAATATAGATTAAGGCACGGGAAGCTTGGTAACTACAAACTCAGGAGTAGAGCAGCAGGCATAATTTGGATAATGGAACTCTCTGGGTTGGGGTTAGAAGGAAAAGATGGAAGGTTTGCTGAAGACATACATATTCTTAACTCAGAATTTTGTTTAGGATCAACACTTTGATTTAGGACTCATAAATCTTGCTTTCTTATTTGGAGTCTGGGGAGGGTAAAGGAAAGGTGGTTCTTGTAAATTTTTAAACCCCAAATCAGTTCTTGTATTTAAACAGATTGTTTGTGTTCCTATTACCTTCCTCAGCTTAAGCAAAGGGCTTCTTCTTAAAGTCTCTGGGTCAGATTGTTACATAGAGACCAGGTCCAGGACCCAAATAACATATTTAGCCAATTCTAAGGTGCTATTTTCCTCACATTTTTATGTTTCTGTTATTGGGATGAATCACACAATGTGTATATTTAATGTAGTAGTATACCTATTTTCCTATGTTACTAAACAAATGGCACATCTACAATTTGATGATGTCTTAGAGTTGAAAATGCCATATTATTAACAGGAATAATAAGCTTAAAATTGCGCAAGAAATATCTGAGATTAGGTCATCAACCTCTGCAGTCAGAGTCTTCCCAGCAGGGTTAAGCAATGACAGTGGATGTCATCATTAATATGCCTATAGGATAAAATTCAAGCTGCAAATCTGTTTTTTTTTTCTTTTTTGAGAGACAGCTTACCAGTACACCACTGGCCACAATTATTCTTTACTCTTGTTACACTCAATGCTTACCCAAATAGGTCATGCTATTTCATGCCTGGATACCTTTCCATGTGCTCTTACCTCTGTTTGGAATGCCCTTCTTGGAATGCTGTCCACTGGAGAAATCCTATCCACCTGGTGTTGATCCCTTTCTGCCCTTTCTGCTTCATGTCACCACGTACCTGGTATATGCCTCTAAATATGTACTTGCCATAATGAACTGCAACGACCTTTTAGGTGTCCATCTCATTACCTGTGAATTCCTTGAGGGTAATTGACTGTTTCTTATTTGTCTTTGTATCCCTAGTACTTAGGACAGTGTCTGGTACGTAGTAGTATTTAAAGATTGAATGTATGAAGAAAAAGAAAGAGAAAAAGAATACTATACATGTGGTGAAGTCCCATAGCACCAACAAATGTTTCATCTGTTTCTGGCATTCAAAGATGTCCATGTCTTATCCAAACCGTCTGAACTCCTGGCAAACTTAAAATTGTCAACACTGAATTTAATTGTTAATAATAAAATGGGTTCATTTATGTTAGTTTAGTCTCCCCAGTCAATTATAAGCTCATTAGAGGGAGGGATCAAGTCTTTTTCTATACATACATGTCGAGTTTTAGATAAATTGTGTACTCCTACTCTGAGGTGTGATTTAGTTTCCAAGATTCTTCATTCAGCATACCTTTATTATTAATGCTGGGAGCAAAGCTGCATGAGAGAAATGGAAAGGCTCACAACAGTTTTATTTATTTAGGGCCTAGAATTTCTTTAGAGTTTAGAGTAATCCACAATACCAAACATCAAAAACATAATCTTACAGTCATTTAAGAGAGAGAAATTTGAATATTACTGGTAAAACCCTGGGAGCTAATTACTTCAAGATCACTTGAAACCTTAACTCATTAAGTTTGAAAAATCTCCTGAGGTCCTTAAAGATGCTATTCCTATTATGTTATGTGATCCAATTGAATGTCTTAGATTTTGCTAATAAGAGAAAGCCTGAAGTTTATGCAAAAGAGAGAATCCATTTATCTTTTGCTTCAGGAAAAATATTAAGCATCTCCTATGGGTACTTCAGTACTCTGTGTTGTAGAGTATTATAAGAGAAGGAGGGGAAAATACAGATGCACAGCCCCTGATCTCAAAAAATAAATTCCCAGCACCATACCCCAGAATTACTTGTGTATATTGCCAAAGTGAGTTGCATTCCACACTCTTGGTTAGGCCCAGTAAGGAAGTCTTATTGATAATTGTTGGTATCGCTACTGTTATTATACAGAAACAGTGGCTTGGCAAAGGATGCTCTTCAACATGCTGTAGTGTCATTCAGATAAGGGAGCCAAGTAACATTTTGGATGTCTTTTGAGAGTGTTAAGTCAGTAGTTCAGATCCAAAATTTAAGAAAAAAATCCCCTTTTATGTCCCACAATGTAAGCTGAGTCATTAAAAGAAATACAGATATAAGAGATAAGACAGATTCAGGGAAGATAATATTACTTTTTGATTGACTGTCACTCATCAGAAATTAATAACCAATCAGATGACATGTATGGGACAGAACTAGGATGAAAGAAAATTCAGTCCAGATTGGGCAGTTTTATTAGGACTAGAAGTAGTGCGTTATGTCATATGATTCTGTTTATTTGTAAATCTTATCCACATGTGTAAACTTAGTTTATTTTGTACACGTTTGCCAATTTTAAACTGTCTATCCTATTATTCCCTTAGTACCTCAAACATAGCAACCACTATTTTTAAAGGGTTTACAGCCTTGCCTATGGTATTATGTATACAACAGTCAATTTATCTATAATGGTCAAATGGAAAATGGGGAAGAGGGGAGAGGCTTACCACTAGATCCTTACAACACGCAGTTGAAGGGTCCTTTCTGGTCAATCCCAGGAAAATATCTTCAGTTCCCACCTGCTGTTTGAACACAACTTCATATCTGAAAAAAAAGCCAGTGATATAGAGACTCAAATGAAAGAGCAATTTCCTGTCACAGAGCAGAAAACTAGAAACTTATGAGGATATGCTATTACAAAAAATAAATAAAGTGCTTGCAGTTTTTTCAGGCATGTAGCAGAATATAAGGGAACAAAAGTCTAGAAATTCAGTCAAAAATACCTAACACTGTCAGGATTTATGTTGTGTATACTGGTTTCTAAAAATAAAGCTTGACTATTTCAGAGCTATACAAATAAAATAGATTGAGGGAACTTCTAATAGGATTCTAATAAGAGTAAAAGCAGAAGAAAAAAGGAAGGTCCTTTCCTGGAAAACAATGGCTCAGAAGAATAGTGAGCCCATAATCCAGGGTTTGATGGATAGATGGAAACATTCCTCTGTTAAATGTAAACCTCAGAGTAGAGTTAGAAAATCCAGGTTTAGTACTCTTTCTGTCATTAACTGTGATCTTGGTCAAGTCACAAACTCATGTGCTCAGCTTCCGGATTTGTACAATTTATGGGAGGGGGTGGGTTTGAACTAAATGATCTCTACTGTGTTTTCTACCTCAAAAATTCTACAGTAGAAACACTGGTAGTGTAGTCAGCACAGGTACAACTATAGTGTTTAGAATCTAGTCCTACAGAATTCTTAGTTCAGTGAAAGGTTTTCCTGGTATTTCACCTCACACATGACAATTCATAAATCTTTCCTTGCCCCCAAATTTGGGACCCCAGGGATAGAGTGGTTTATAGAAACCCCCAGCCATAATGAACTATATCTTTTTATTTTTTAATTTTAATTTTATTTATTTATTTAATTTGGTCACACTGCACAGCATGTGGGATCTTAGTTCCCTGATCGAACCCACACCCCCTGCACTGGAAGCGCAGAGTCTTAACCACTGGACCACCAGGGAAGTCCCTACCCTATCTTTTTAGTTGGAATGAAGTAAGTAAACATTTACAAATATTTGAAGGAATATTTGGTATTTGACTAGATATAATGAATGAGAGGAAAGCATCAAGGATGATGCTGAGGTTACTCGCTTGGGTGACTGGGTGAACAGTGAAGCCACTAACTGTGATTGGGAATGTAGGTGGAGGGGAAATGGTGAGTTTGGTTTAGGGTGTGTGGAGTGTGAGGTGCCTTGGGACATCCAGGCAAATGTATATAGTAGGCGGTTGGAAAATTGTATCTAGAGACATTGAACTTCTGACCACTTGTAAATAGGAATGCCCAAGGATGAAAGAGGGACTTCTCTGAGTTGGAATAGGGCTAACAGTAAATAGCTATTTGAGATAGGACACTTTTTTCTTAATAGACTCTAACAGCTACCAGGTATTCACAAAGGTGAAGCCAAGTTAAAACAAAACAGAAAGATATTGATCTATATGCTCAGGACTCCCACGTGGATTTGCTCTAGCTACTGCTTTCCTCTCATTCATTATATCTAATCAAATACCAAATCTTCCTTCAAATATCTCTCAAATAAAGATCCTCATATTTCTGTCCAAGGCCAGTGACTTAGCTCAGGCCCTTATTATTTTTTATTTGGTAACTTGTGATTCTTCTTTTGTGATCTGCCTGTTCACCTTCTTTACCCATTTTCTTCTTTGCCAATTGGGACAGCTCGAAATGTATTTACATAACATAGAAAATAGAGATTAAAAAATCTTATAAAGCAATTTTCTTCATATCCTGACTGGAGTTCTTGTTCATTTAAAGCTTTGAGGGATATTCTTTCTACAGAACATCAAACATCAGGATGAAAAATTAAAATTTTCTCAGATTTGGAGCTTGCCACATATGGATGTTTGACATTCATTAAACTATGTGACAAATGAATGACTTAAATCTTACCTTTCATAGGGATGTGTGGGCACTGTATAAACATAACCTGGGATTCACTCCCTTCATACTTAAGATGCAGACAGAAATGTTTTAAAATCCCCTTTGATTTCTTTTTTATGAGGTTTACTTTTTTTTAACATTGTTTATTTGAAAGCTGGATACTTTTTTTCTAGTTAATTATCTGCAGTCTCCCACTGCTTCTATTTTCAAAACTGACATAAAAGATAGAAGCATCGTTTTTTTTTTTTTAAGCATTGGACACAGTTTTACAGTCAGAATTAGAAAAGTTCTCAGATCATTTGCCATAGAAGTTTTCAAGACATTATAAAGCACACTATAATTTAACAAATATTGCCTTTGTTTTTCAAGCTATTCTAAATATTCAAACAAGATTTTATTTTAAAATACATATTTAAAGCTTAGTGTATTTAATCATTAATTTCAATTATGTATGTAAACACACTTTAATCCTTAACAGTATGAGTGATTTCACTTATTAGTACGAAAGGCTTTTTATGATAATTCTAAAATTCATATTTATAATTCCTACTAAAAGACTAGAAAGCAAGCCTTTAATCCTGCTTGCACAATATACTAAACATAATCCTAAAATAACTAGTAAATTAGTCCAGGTAACAGCTGATAATTGGTGGCAGAACATAGCCTTTTACTGAAATTGTGGAACACTGAGTAATTAAAAGCAAGTCTTTGACACAAAAACATGGCATAATAATTTAGTTTGTATGAATGCTTGTAATTTAATGGGCTGGTTTTACCCACTGTTACTTCCATATTATACAACTAAATGATATTAAATATAAATTGATAATGGAAATGACTACTTTTCACTTTTTGTTAGATAATAACTGAAAGAAAGGTATTACGTCTTAATATTTGTTTCTGCTCTAGAAGGAAAATCTCATCAATTACACATGCCTTCTGTGTGTCACCACAGTTTTATCTTTTACGTGGTAGAAGTTACGTTATGAATCTTGTCAAAAACAGACTGGTATCAGATGACACATCTAACTTAAACCCCAAAAAACATGTTCCTGGCTTCATTTGACTTACTCTGGTGTTTCTCTAATATCCCACACATCATGGTGCTCTGCCCCTTCTGAAACCTCCTCCGGATTCCAGATGTGCTCACTATTTTCATCACTTGTTTGAGGGATGACTGTGAAGAAAGGGAAGATAAAGCTGAAGCTTTTTCCTGTTTTACCCCTTGAAATTGCTCCTGTTCTTCTTCACACTAAGTTTGGGATCACTGAAGTGAAATATTTTCTATTTGTAATCGCTAGCTTGGTTTTTGGTCAGAGAAGCTAAATTCGTAACAACTGAATTAAATTTTTAATCAACACACAGCCAATACATTGAAGAGTTGTAATAATAATTGTAGAAAATTTGGAAAAGACATATAAGCAAAAAGAAGAAAATAAAATAATCTACAATCTAACCACTCAGAGATGATCAATGATAGCATTCTGGTGTACATCTTTCTCTCTCTCTCTCTCTCTCTGTATATGTGTGTGTATCTATATCTATATCTACAGATATAGATATACATAAATGTGTATATACACATATAAAACATATATAAATATTTAGTACATAAAATGACATATTGTGTATAAAATATATATTATATACAACATATATGTAAAGAAATATTACACATTTTTTCAGAAACAAATAGGATCATACGTAAAATATTTTTACATAAAAGAACAAATCAAACATGCAATCAATCTGATTTGGATAGAAATACTTTATCTTGCCTTGTGTTTTACTATTTAAAAGTCCCTTGATACCTTTTCCGTGCAAGCCTGACATAGTTCTTTAAAAATATTATCAGTGAAAGAAACTGAAAACTGTAGAGACAATGATCATTTTTAATCCATTATTTTCCTCATATAGACATGGGCTCTAAAGAAAATCTCTCTCATTTGTCCTTTATGTCAACTGAGCACATGCCTGGGGTTTCTACATGTCATATCCTCCAGAACACAGGCTCCAGTCCCCTCCACCAGGAAGGCTAAACAACCCATTGAATCAACCTTAGACACTGGGGGCAGACACCAAAAACAATGGGAACTACGACCCTGCAGCCTGTGAAAAGGAGACCCCAAACACAGTAAGTTAAGCAAAATGAGAAGACGAGAAATATGCAGCAGAGGAAAGAGCAAAATAAAAACCCACCAGACCAAAAAATGAAGAGGATATAGGCAGTCTACCTGAAAAAGAATTCAGAGCAATGATAGTAAAGATGATCCAAAATCTTGGAAATAGAATGGAGAAAATACAAGAAACATTTAACAAGGACCTAGAAGAACTAAAGAGCAAACAATGATGAACAACACAGTAAATGAAATTAAAAATTCTCTAGAAGGAATCAATAGCAGAATAACTGAGGCAGAAGAATGGATAAGTGACCTGGAAGATCAGATAGTGGAAATAACTACCACAGAGCAGAATAAAAAGAAGGACACTACATAATGATCAAGGGATCAATCCGAGAAGAAGATATAACAATTGTGAATATTTATGCACCCAACATAGGAGCACATCAATACATAAGGCAAATACTAACAGCCATAAAAGGGGAAATCGACAGTAACACAATAATAGCAGGGAACTTTAACACCCCACTGTCACCAATGGACAGATCAACCAAAATGAAAATAAATAAAGAAACACAAACATCAAAAGACACATTAGACCAGATAGACTTAATTGATATTTATAGGACATTCCATCCAAAAACAACAGAATACACTTTCTTCTCAAGTGCTCATAGAACATTCTCCAGGATAGACCATATCTTGGGTCACAAATCAAGCCTTGGTATATTTAAGAAAACTGAAATCATATCAAGTATCTTTTCCGACCACAATGCTATGAGACTAGATATCCATTACAGGAAAAATCTGTAAAAAATGCAAACACATGAAGGCTAAACAATACACTACTAAAAAACTAAGATATCACTGAGGAAATCAAAAAGGAAATCAAAAAATACCTAGAAACAAACAACAATGAAAACACGACAGCCCAAAACCTATGGGATGCAGCAAAAGCAGTTCTAAGAGGGAAGTTTATAGCAATACAATCCTAACTTAAGAAATAAGAAACATCTCAAATAAACAACCTAACCTTACACCTAAAGCAATTAGAGAAAGAAGAACAAAAAACCCCAAAGTTAGCAGAAGGAAAGAAATCATAAAGATCAGATCAGAAATAAATGAAAAAGAAATGAAGGAAACAATAGCAAAGATCAATAAAACTAAAGCTGGTTCTTTGAGAAGATAAACAAAATTGATAAACCACTATCCAGACTCATCAAGAAAAAAAGGGAGAAGACTCAAATCAACAGAATTAGAAATGAAAAAGGAGAAGTAACAGCTGACACTGCAGAAATAAAAAAAATCATGAGGGATTACTACAAGCAACTCTATGCCAATAAAATGGACAATCTGGAAGAAATGGACAAATTCTTAGAAATGCACAACCTTCCGAGACTGAACCAGGAAGAAATAGAAAATATAAACAGACCAATCACAAGCACTGGAATTGAAACTGTGATTAAAAATCTTCCAACAAACAAAAGCCCAGGATCAGATTGCTTCATGGGTGAATTCTATCAAACATTTAGAGAGAGCTAACACCCATCCTTCTCAAACTCTTCCAAAAATATAGCAGAGGGAGGAACACTCCCAAACTCATTCTATGGGGCCACCATCACCCTGATACCAAAACCAGACAAAGATGTCACAAAGAAAGAAAACTACAGGCCAATATCACTGATGAACATAGATGCAAAAATCCTCAACAAATTAGAAGCAAACAGAATCCAACAGCACAATAAAAGGATCATACACCATGATCAAGTGGAGTTAATCCCAGGAATCCAAGGATTCTTCAATATATGCAAATCAATCAATGTGATGCAGCATATTAACAAATTGAATGATAAAAACCATATGATAATCTCAATAGATGCAGAAAAAACTTTTGACAAAATTCAACACCCATTCGTGATAAAACCTCTCCAGAAAGTAGGCATGGAGGAACTTACCTCAATATAATAAAGGCCATATATGACAAATCCACAGCCAACATCATTCTCAATGGTGAAAAACTGAAACCATTTCCACTAAGATCAGGAATAAGACAAGATTGCCCACTCTCACCACTCTTATTCAACAGAGTTTTGGAAGTTTTAGCCACAGAAATCAGAGCAGGAAAAGAAATAAAAGGAATCCAAATCGGAAAAGAAGAAGTAAAACTGTCACTGTTTGCAGATGACATGATACTACACATAGAGAATCCTAAAGCTGCTACCAGAAAACTACTAGAGCTAATCAATGAATTTGGTAAAGTAGCAGGATACGAAATTAATGCACAGAAATCTCTGGCATTCCTATACACTAATGATGAAAAATCTCAAAGAGAAATTACGGAAACACTCCCATTTACCACTGTAACGAGAAGAATAAAATACCTAGAATAAACCTACCTAAGGACACAAAACTCCTGTATGCAGAAAACTATAAGACACTGATGAAAGAAATTAAAGATGATAGAAACAGATGGAGAGATATACCATATTCTTGGATTGGAAGAATCAACATTGTGAAAATGACTACACTACCCAAAGCAATCTACAGATTCAGTGCAATCCCTGTCAAACTACCAAAGGCCTTTTTCACAGTACTAGAACAAAAAATTTCACAGTTTGTATGGAAACACAAGAGACCATGAATAGCCAAAGCAATCTTGAAAAAGAAAAATGGAGTTGGAGGAATCAGGCTCCCTGACTTTAGACTATACTACTAAGCTACAGTAATCAAGACAGTATGGTACTGGCACAAAAACAAAGCACAAAACCAGTATGGTACTGGCACAAAGAAATATAGATCAATGGAACAACATAGGAAGCCCAGAGATAAACGCATGCACATATGGGCACTTTATCTTGATAAAGGAGGCAAGAATATACAATGAAGAAAAGACAGCCTTTCAATAAGTGGTGCTGGGAAAACTGGACAGCCACATGTAAAAGAATGAAATTAGAACACTCCCTAACACCATACACAAAAATAAACTCAAAATGGATTAAAGACCTAAATGTAAGGCCGGACACTATAAAACTTAGAGGAAAACATAGGCAGAACACTCTATGACATAAATCACAGCAAGATCCTTTTTGACCCACCTCCTAGAGAAATGGAAATAAAAACAAAAATAAACAAATGGGACCTAAAAACTTCAAAGCTTTAGCACAGCAAAGGAAACCATAAACAAGACGAAAAGACAACCCTCAGAATGGGAGAAAATATTTGCAAATGAAGCAACTGACAAAGGACTAATCTCCAAAATTTACAGACAGCTCATGCAGCTGAACATCAAAAAACAAACAACCCAATCCAAAAATGGGCAGAAGACCTAAATAGACATTTCTCCAAAGAAGATATACAGACTGCCAACAAACACATGAAAGAATGCTCAACATCACTAATCATTAGAGAAATGCAAATCTAAACTACAGTGAGGTATCACCTCACACCAGTCAGAATGGCCATCATCAAAAAATCTACAAACAATAAATGCTGGAGAGGGTGTGGAGAAAAGGGAACCCTCTTGCACTCTTCGTGGGAATGTAAATTAATACAGCCACTATGGAGAAGGGTATGGAGGTTCCTTAAAAAACTAAAAATAGAACTGCCATATGACCCAGCAATCCCAATAATGGGCATATACCCTGGGAAAACCATAATTCAAAAGAATCATGTGCCACAATGTTCATTGCAGCTCTGTTTACAATAGCCAGGACATGGAAGCAACCTAAATGTCCATTGACAGTTGAATGGATAAAGAAGATGTGGCCCATATATACAGTGGAATATTACTCAGCCATAAAAAGAAATGAAATTAGAGTTATTTGTAGTGATGTGGATGGACCTAGAGTCTGTCCTACAGAGTGAAGTAAGTCAGAAAGAGAAAAACAAATACTGTACACTAACACATATATATGGAATCTAAAAAAAAAGGGGGGGTCTGAAGAACCTAGGGGCAGGACAGGAATAAAGACACAAACATAGAAAATGGACTTGAGGACACAGGGAGAGGGAAGGGTAAGCTGGGACGAAGTGAGAGTGGCATGTGTACATATATACACTACCAAATGTAAAATAGATAGCTAGTGGGAAGCAGCCGCATAGCCCAGGGGGATCAGCTTGGTGCTTTGTGACCACCTAGAGGGGTGGGATAGGGAGGGTGGGAGGGAGATGCAAGAGGAAGGAGATATGGGGATATATGTATAGGTATAGCTGATTCACTTTGTTATACAGCAGAAACTAACACAACATTGTAAAGCAATTATACTCTAATAAAGATGTTAAAAAAAGAGAGAGAAAGTAAATACGCATGCTAAATCCCAGCTTGCATTTGTTCAAACTGTTGCGGCAGCAAATGGAGACCCACATTAGGTGCAGAACATTATTTTGATTACTGTTAAGCATTCCCAGAAATGCACCTGATTGTCAGGTTTTCAATTCTGCCAGTTCATTTGAAATGATCTGCTTCCATCTAGCATGGGCTTTGTAAAGCATAATTACAGATTTATATATAATGTTTTACATATGACTCATTGTTCTTAGAATTTAGAGATTGTTAGACCTACATTATCAGAAATACAGGCAGCACAGAAATACATCCAAATTTGAACTAGTCTTCTGTGAAGTGAATATCTCTTGAATAAGGCAAATAGACTCTTGAGTATGTAGAATAACTGAAATTTTAAAATTGTCCACTCAGACCTCATTTTAGTCATTATTAAACATTTTTCCAGACAAAATCTTTTACAATTACCTAAATTGATGAGAGTACTTCATTTCCTCTCCCTGTCCACCCTTTGGTAACTGTGATCACGACCAACAGAATTACAGATTTCTATATTTTTAAAGATGTGCAAAATGTTCAACTCTGTGAAAATGTATAGGCCAAAATGCTGGGAAAACACCCGAAAAATATTTATTCTAGTTTACTGGACCCGTGATTTTATAAGTCACCCCATGCTTTAATTTATAAGCTTTTCAACTTAAGATTAAATTGTGTAGTTATTTGTTTCATTGTGTTCTCCAAAGGACTATTAGCTCAATGGGGGCAGGGACCCTTTCTATTTTGATCTCCATTGTAGTCTCAGAGATGATCATGCTACCTGGTACATAATTAGCTCTCAACAAATATTCATTGAATGAATTAATGAATTCTGTGAAATTGCCAGAATATAGCAGCACAGAACGTGAAGAAGTTAAATGTCGTGGTAACTAGACCCTAAATACTAAAAAAGTTATCTAACCACATGTGACTTTCTTGGTTTTCCATCTCAGGAAATATGCCAAAAAATGTGAATAACTCAAGGCAAATTAATTTCCATTACTAGAAAAACAACTTACCTGCAACACTAGAGTAAAAACAATATCTTTATATGTAAATAGTTGTTCATCGTTCCCAAAATTATTTGAGTTCAGCTTTGATAAGTGCTAGTGTTAGTTAGTATTACTCTCCCTATCATTTTGCACCCAAAGAAAAGATTATACTGATTATATTGTTCTATATGCTTTATTAAATAACTTACCTTTAAGCGCTTCTCTTTCTGGTGGTCCAATATTCCCAGGACCCATGGCTCCCATTGCAGATGAACTATTTGACTGGAGGAGAGGAAAAAAAGTCCAACATTCTGTAATTACTACTTGTGTAACTTACATGACCAGTGATACTTTAAATTTGATAAGCTTTCTGTCTACAGGTTCATTAAGCTTCCCAGTTTCATTATCCATTGTTGTTATATAACCAAGAGACAGATGTCAAGTATTATTTTGAATGTGTTTTCCTTGTCCTTTCAAAAAGTATTTGGTTTAATAGACCCCAAGACAAAACTGATCTTTGATCAGACTAAATCCCCAGTTCCAGCCCAGTGAATCATGTATTCTTGGGGCTAGGGGAATGAGCCACATTCAACTCTTTGAAGGTTAGAACCAAGTGTTAGAATAAGAGCATAGACCCCTTTGGGTTTTGGCAGTTGTCTGGTCATAGTTAGATGGGGTACAGAAGTATGGGAAAGTTTTACAGAAATAAAAACAAACCACTAAATAGAGTCTAAGTATTTAGACATCAAACAACTCATTCAAAAGTCTTGATAATAGGGCTTCCCTGGTGGCCCAGTGGTTGAGAGTCCACCTGCTGATGCAGGGGACACGGGTTCGTGCCCTGGTCCGGTAAGATCCCACATGCCGCATAGCGGCTAGGCCCGTGAGCCATGGCCGCTGAGCCTGCGCGTCCGGAGCCTGTACTCCGCAACGGGAGAGGCCACAACAGTGAGAGGCCCGCGTACCGCAAAAAGTCTTGATAATAGCTTTTACTTCTTTCCACTGTGGATATGAAATACTTCTTCGTCCCATCACCTCATGACACTGAACTAGTGGATTTAAACAGCAACGCCAAATTAATAGTGTCAAATACATGCTGAACCACTTCAGTCTTCATGCAAGTTCAGGTTTATTTTGCCATCTTCTGTACGAGCAGACATACCCCCTGTATGGGACAGGGACAGCAGACATACTGCCCCTGTCTCACCAGTAGAAGAACAGTTTTCTTTTTTCAGCTAAGCATAACACACATTACAGCATCAGTATAGCGGCTACCACCTTATTGGTCCCTGTCAGGAGTTCTTTGCTACTTCAAGAAAATCCCAATTTTTTTTTTTTTACTAATTGTTCTTGCTGATGTCAGACTCTGCAGCTCCAATTCACTCCATTGCTGGCAGTCAAAACTTCTTATTGCGTGGTCCTGGCAAACTAGCACCTCCAAGTCTCCTTTTCCAGGCCCCTGCCCTTATCTCCCAAGACTTCAGACAGGTGCACAAGTTATAATGTCCTGTTTGGGCAAGAGGAATAGGGTCTGTCCTTGAAAGCTGGTGGAAAAGCTCATCTGTGTCTTTTTTATGCTAAATTATTCCAACAGCTATAAATTAGAAATTAATCTGTAACATCTCAAAGCTTTCTGAGACAGTAACTATTGCTTTCCAAAAGGTGCTTCAAAAGTGCTATGTCTGCTGTTAAGGTGTTACAGGCATTTTTATGTGAAAATCCCAAGACAATATTCTGTACATTTTTTTCTGTTAAATCACTAAAGTCATGTAAACTTGCAATGCTTTTCTTAAGTTATTAATCACCAGAATATTAATACTACTAATAGTCAATCAGGGTAAAGCATTTTTTGGAACCTGAGGGCCTCTTGTTTTGTTGAGTGCTTCCTTCCTCAGCAAATTAAAATCCATAGAAATAAAAACTTGAACATTCCTGACAAAAATTGGTATGCTCTCCATGGACAGTGATGATTAGGTCAGTATATCAGAACAGAGGAGGAGTTTCAGTTCATTAACTTAATGAAAATAAATGATTAAAAATAAAATTTTCAAGTGAAAAGATGGATCAGGATAATAAAAACATTAAAAACCATCTGGCAATTGTTTCTATAAGAATATCATTTCAGCCTCTACCATGAATCTACATCCAATTATCTGAGCAATTTATCATTGCAATTCATGCCACTTTGCAATATGTAAGAGAGTTAGAACATCCTTGTTACGTTGTCTGTGCAGAGTGGTAAACCTTATTTCCCAAGGTCTTAAGATCCCCTCGTGAGACAACAGACATACTCTCTTCCCAATCTCCTATATTCTTAAGAATTCTTGGTGGGGATAGTGTAAATAAACCAATGTGTATGCAACAGTTCTAAATGCTGTTTTCAGTGAGTGTGTTTTAAAAAACACATCGCTCTTGTAATCGTTCTACAGTTCCCAAGATTAATACATGTTAAAAAATGAAAAGCCGTTTCTCTCCTGGAAAATTTAATAGTTCATTAGAAACATTAATTTTTCTCACACTGTTCTGATACCACAATTCTATATCCTCTAATGATATCTGTACTGTGGTGTCTGAATGACAAATTATCTCGAAATTGCTTATAACCCAGATATACAGAATCATACATTATTATAGTAATTTTCCTCTATATATTGTACAATTTGGTAAAATGATTCTAGTCTCTCTATTCTCATAAGCACTCATCTTTCCCCTGGAAACACCTCTAGATGCAAATAAACATCTCCATACATAAATGCCAAAGGAAACAGGCTTTGTAACCAGGGGAAATTCTTATCTCCGAATCTGTTCTAGTTACAAGTTCCACTTCCCTTTATTCCAGATCGCTGTTTCTCTATATGACATACTTTTTTCTATATGACATAACTTTACCTTTTCTATACTTTTTCTATATGACATAACTTTACCTTTCCCAGGATTTATCATTCTATTTCAGCTAAGGTAGCAAAAACGAGTTTGCCTTCCCAAACTTATTGATATATTGCACTTAACTTTTTCTTCTGTGTCCTATTTGTTGTATATATTCAGTGCTGTTACTAATGGCCTGCTTTTTCTTTCCTTCTTTGGCCTCTACTAAGAATTTTCCCTGACTAAAACTTCTTGGTTCCTAATCCTGGCTCCAGGCTGACTCAGTTCCCCTCCTCTACAAATTTTATTTCCATTGCATGTCTTACTTGATTCTGCCCTGTTCCACATAACTTCTTCCTGGAGGGTGGGGCTGCCTATTTAGATTATACTACTTGTTTTTCCACACTATGGCAAAAAAGAATTTGGGGAGGAGAAAATTGATATGTATGTTCATGGGAGACGGTTTATTCATGGTAAACTGGTCATGGTAACAAAGAACATTAAAACAGTTTAAAGCAAATTGATATATTCTGCTATAGTACGAGACTTTTTAAAATGAATTTATTTATTTTATTTATTTATTTTTGGCTGCCTTGGGTTTTCATTGCTGTGTGAGGGCTTTCTCTAGCTGCAGGGAGTGGGGGCTACTCTTCATTGCGGTGAGCGGGCTTCTCACTGCGGTGGCTTCTCTTGTTGCAGAGCACAGGCTCTAGAGGGCAGGCTCAGTAGCTGTGGCACGCGGGCTTAGTTGCTCTGCGGCATATGGGATCTTCCCGGACCAGGGCTCAAACCCCGGTCCCCTGTATTGACAGGCGGATTCCTAAGAACTGCGCCACCAGGGAAGCACCTATAGTATGAAACTTCTGCCACAAATTTTGTTTGCCTTCACATAGGCAGTCTGATAGCCAAGGTTTGCTAATATCTAAGGAGGAGGAGAATGGAGAGCAGGGGGTTACATGGAAGTATTTTGAGTATTCTGAGCATACTGGCAGTGACTGTGGAATGGCCAAAGGTCAATTCATGCAACTCTCCTACCCAAAATGAAGCCCATCTTGCTGCTGCAAGCCTCCCTGAGGTTCCCTGTCCTGACCCCAAATGCTATTCAACTAATTAGATTCCACAGCTCAATCTGAGCATGTAGCCAGAAGCCAATTTTAATAGGCTGAAGCTAGTTTGTCCCCTTATTTGGCTCAAAATATTTTCTGTTCTGCTTTCATGTGTAGACAAATTTTTAAAAATTAAGGGTTTTGGGGGCCTAATTAATATTGTCTAATTAAAATTATTTGTTTTATAGAAATATTGTCTAGGCTTAAAAATCCTAGCTATCACTCTTTGTAATGGTTGTCAAGCATTCTTTGGCCATAAATATAAATGACAAACATTTTGAAATGTGGCTATTGCTACCATAGTTACAGAACTATTTTCCTATTCAGTGTTCAGGTAGTTTAGAAAAAATATAATTATGTTTGCTAGAAATGTACTAGAGGTTATACTCTCATGAATAATCAGTCCTGCAACCTCCTGTGAATGTATTAGATGACAGAGCCCTGCTCCCACAGCAAGGTTGGAACAAGTTGTTCAAATACAGTTTCACAACTTAGTGTGATCAGAACTAATTCATCTGTAAGTATACAACCACCTGTCCGGACTCAAAGTCATCCTCTTCCGGATAAAGCAGCTTAGAGAGAGCCTGAAGAGCTGAAGCTGAGGAAATGGTTTCAATTTCCATATTTTCAGATTCCATATTCTGAGGAAGAAGATAATCAGAAAGAGGTATTTTAGTCTTCTATTTTATTTAAGACATGAAGATTTTTCTAAATTGTCATATCTCCCTCCTTTCCCTGGGTCACTACATTATCTCTTATTCCTCCTTGAAAATCCTTGTAAACTCCTTCAAATATATGTATTTTGCTGACTCACAGACCTGGGGCAGCAAGTAAACGCAAGTATACAGCTTGCTTTATTAAAACTTCGTGCTCAATCTAACAAGCATTTCTTGAGCACCTACATAGTGGTTCTCAGATTTTAGTGTGTTTAAGAGTCACTTGGGGAGTTAGTTAAAAATGCACATCCTTAAACTCTACCCCAAGAGAAAGAGTTTGTCAGTGTCATGTAGAATGTACATTATTACTTGGAAACATACTTTTGTAGACTACCTTTTTATCTGTCTAATATATGCTGTCTAGCTTGTATATTCTGAACTGAAAAGGATGAACTGAAAGGATGAACTGAAAAGGATGTTTGTTGGGGGGAATGTCTCAAGGAACTTTACTCATTTCACACTTTTGCCTCAGGCAGGCCGGTATCTTCTGCTTTATTTAAAATTTTAATCAACCCTTGATGATGCCTTGCATTATATTGCTGTTTGGGACCTCTAGTGGGTTGGTTCATTAACTTTAGTGAAAGTTCACACAAAATTAATTGTTTTTTTTCTGATTATAATAGTGATACTATATATGTCTATTATGGAAATTTTAGAAAACAATACATTAAAAGTAGAAATAAGAGAATCACAACTACTTGTAATCCTACCAACCAGACATCAGGCTTTTAAATAATCTCTACCGTTATATTTGGAGTAGGAATTCAGGATCTTTAAAAATCTTGGGAGTGTCACACTTTAATGAATAACCTGAATAAAGACTGTAGAATTAGGCCTATTGTTAGTGATTTTGGCATAAATATAATAGGAATCTTTTCTACACTTCTGCTGATATTTTTTGAATATTATTTTCTAAAATTAATTCACAGGAAGCTTTTCTTTAGTGCTTTTATTAAATGATCCACTAAAATTTTTGTGTTGTGCCTAGAACGGTAATACAAAGGAATTCTCAAAAGTGTGCTGGTACAATCACCTGTCAAAATCAATCTGCATGTAAATGGCGTTTTACAAATCTTTTATTTTATTATTACATTTTATCATTATTTTGACTTTCCTTCTTGAAAGGAAAACTGATCTGAATGCTTATCGCAGATGTCAAGGGTATGAAACAAATGTTAAATTGCCCTATAGATCTAGCACAGAGGCAAGTATATTATAGTGGTTAAGAGTAAGGGCTCTGGAGTCATGTTGCTTAGATTTGTATCTATCTTTACTTCCTAGCTCTGTGACACTGGGCTACATCATTTAAACTAATAATGATGTCGAATAACTTAATGATAAAACTCATTACATTGAAAACTCATTAAATTGGAAAAGGTGAAATAAGAGCTGATTAAAACAATCTTCTCTCACAGTATGGTCTGGTAGTCTGCTATGGAAATGAATAATTGACACATTAAATTAAACAAAGAGGCTTCTGTTTATATTTTTAAAGTCCTAGATGATTATGTGTTCATTAAATATTTACTTAACATTAAAAGCAAAAAGTTTATTGAAACATTTTTTACCTTTGACAGTGAAAGGGAAAAATGGATCCAGATATCAGATGCAATGATATAAATGGTATTTTGAATTGAAATTGTACAATGAGACTTTTAAAAAACAAATATAGCCAAAATTGTTTTACTATTCCAGCCTTAACTACCTTACAATATTGTTGTGATGGCCGTATTATGCACCATAGGTAAAAGAGTTTGCTAAAATATGAAAAGTTTTATAAAAATATCATTATTATTTGGCACATAGTGCCAGCACCCACAGGTACACGACGGTGAGGCTTGCTAGAGCTTAATGGTGGGCTGGTGAGAAGGGAAGAAACTGGAACCAGTAGAACTAACCCAGAAGGGTATTCAGAAGTGCCAAATATAGCATCTGAGTTAGCAATCAGAGCTGCTATTCACGCGTGCTCATGGGCTTGGCAGTGACATGGCAGCGAGAGTTTCAGGACGTGAGCAGTGTTTCGGCAGAAAGGTTGAATAGCCATGGTTACAGGGAGGCCTATTTAGGTAAAGTAGGATCCTGGTCCATAGGTGGGGCTATAGGAGGCAGGATGGGGTTCTTGAGTAATATGGGGGAGTCGGCAGCTGGAGGAAGGTTCAGAATAAGGCTGGGCTCAACATCACAGCTGTAAAAGAGAAAAGGAAACAGGCACTCCATCAGAGGCTTTCTAATGTCCTAGTGGAGGTTATGAAGGAAGGCTGTGGTTCAGTAAGTACACTGGATACTGTATTTAGGAAAAGCAGATTAATTCTAAATCCCCATCAGTTGGGAAGTAGCTCTCGCCTGGTTCTCATTTGGTAAGAGGCAGGGCAGTGTGGGCAGTGGGAAGCTACACCTTGAGGCTGAGCGTCTTCAGTAACTGGAGCTGGCATGTAGTCAGCAGTTGGTGAATACTGAATGAAGCATGACTAAATTCATACGAATGTTGATTTCAAAATAGTCACCTTGGAAGGTTATACATTGATGTAAATTATGCTATCAATGCTCAAAATATTTTGGAACTGCCTTCATATGTATCACCAAGAAAACAGGTATCACTATGGTATCACTCAGTGTAATTACACATCAGATTTGTCTCCAAGTGATTTCTAGATATATCTAGATATCACATCTACTTTCAAAATATGAAGATTTAATACTTTGAGGATATTCCAAAGAATGTGCTGCAAGCCTCAAGGCGATTCTAAAAGAGTAGCTTCAAAAGTAATTTGAGCAGTAACAACAGCATTAGAATAAGTGGATAGCCTCCCAAAGTGACTGCTTTGAAGGGAATACCACTCCTTGGGATGTAAAACAAATCATTCACAATAATTTATAGTATGCTTTTTATATCCGAAGTATATTAGGAATCAGACTTTTTAAATTCCAAATTATGCTGGCATAACAATGGCATAGGTTCATACTTAGCTAAATTGGAGTAGAAATATCATAATAAAATTGGCACTCCAGCAAAAATAATTTTTGCCATATCAACCATAATAATCATCTATAAACACAAAATAATAAATCACGACAAGTTTGTTGATATTGTATTTTGACAAACAAAAGAATCAGCAATACTTTGTAAGTAACTAATCAAAGAACTCAAAGTATCAAAAGAGAAAAACAATGATCTGAATTTTTAGAAAACTGTATTCTAAATTCAATGGAAATGAAGATTCTACTAGCTTTTTTAGAAGTCTAACAAATTAAGAATAATTTGTTAAACTATTAAAAACATATTAAAGTTCATTTGAGAAATACATAACATCGGAAAAATTAAAGCAAGATGCCTTTTTATGAACTATGCAGTGTTATTTATTTGTAGGACTATCTTTTATTTGTAAATTTGATATAAAGTTCATCTTGAGCCTGACAATCAAGGTCCTTCAGGATTTAACCCCAACCTAATTTTCTGCCCTTCCCTCCTATTATTCTCCTACCTGTAATCTGCATTCTGTTAAAAACTGAACTGCTAATTAAACATACCCTATAATATCCTGCCTTTGAACTTTGGAATGTATTCTTCCTTTTGCTTAGACTACCCAGATAGTATAGTGTAGTGATTAAAAAAAAAAAATTCTGGAGCCACACTGCCTGTTTGAATCTGTCATTGCCACTTAAATAGTCCAAGAATAAATTTAAGGCAAATTTAAGCAGGAACTTCATTTAAAAAATATATTGCTAAATCTTTTATTTGAGATTTGGTTATTTAGAAAGTAAATTTTCTAGACCCTTTTTTTTTCTCTCACTTTCTTTTGCTAGGCCAATTCCAGTGGTAGAGTTTTCTAGACAGTGCTTTTAATTTTTCCCACATCAACTTGAATCCTTAGGGCCTTCATAGGTGATTGGGGTATCTCTTTCAGTACTAGCCACAATGAGCTAAAGAGACAGATGCTTCAGAACCAGCTCTTTACCAAAACATTGGAGCCATTTAGGGACTAAACAAGCTCAACCAGGATGACTCTAGACTCACGGCACCATAACAATAATATCAATAACCTGAGATTAAGTCAGACTCTAGTTAAGAGGGCTGGGGTC